CTAGTCCGTAAAATAATGCTTGGGTGGTTAATATTTAGTGAAATAAGCTTGGGAAGGAAGAAAGGAAGCAACGCACAGCACACCGGAGACAGAAGCTTGTAGTGGACGTCTCCCCTATAACTGCCTACAACTGCGTAGCCGCAGCCACCAGCTGCTACCATCTTCCCTAGCAACCAAACTAGCGGCCCAGGCGGCGGCGTCACCAGATGCCGCAGTATCCTAGCAACGGAGCCAAAGACCGGTTACTTCTCGGGTTTTCCCTACATGACTCATAGATGACTCACGGCTGCTGGGTATATAAGCTCTGTCTCTCCATTGAGATTCATTCTGGCCATTCTTCCTGAACAAGCAACACCTCCTCCGCCGCTGCCTGGCGGTCCTCGCTCCCGCCGGCGAGCATGGAGACCCACCAGCTGTCCTTCTCTGAGCGTCCTCACCAACCAGCTCTCTCATTCTGGCCCATCTTCCTGAACACGCAACACCTCCTCCAGCAAGCTCCTCGCTGTCCAGCTTTCATTCAACCAGGAGGCCAGCAACAGGCAACATCTTCTCTAACGAAGCTCCTGCACATCTATCTCCTTCAACACGCTACTCACCGAACGTCTCTACTGAGCAGCTCCTCACCACACGGCACCTCCAGCACCAGATTGTCTATCATATAACTTATATTATACAAGAAAACCACCTTAGAGTTTCCATCCATCCTGAGTGCTAGACAACATTATACCACGAAACGCCTACAAGCTCATTGCAGGTGTAGTAACCAGACGTTGTTGATGATGGTGAGAGAGAGAGAGAGAGAGAGAGAGAGAGAGACCGGACGACTCTCCAATTGCACTGCGTCAACATCAGCACAGCGTAATTCACCTACACTTTCTACGTTACTATAGCACAATGAGACAACACTAGGTGGTAAAGTACACTGTCGAGGGTCACGAGGTGCGTCACAAACTATTTTTTTTAATGGGGATTATCCCTCCCGGGCACGGATCACCGACCCACATTGTGGCGGAGAGGGGGGGGGGGATAGAATAATAATAATAATAATAATAATAATAATAATAATAATAATAATAATAATAATAATAATAATAATAATAATAATAATAATAATAATAATAATAATAATAATAATGATCATAATAATAATAATAATAATAATAATAATAATAATAATAATAATAATAATAATAATAATAATAATAATAATAATAAAAATAATAATAATAATAATAATAATAATAATAATAATAATAATAATAATAATAATAATGATAATAATCATAATAATAATAATAATAATAATAATAATAATAATAATAAAAATAATAATAATAATAATAATTTAAAAATAAAAATTAATAAAATAATAATAATAAAAATAATAATAATAATAATAATAATAATAATAATTATAATAATAATAATAATAATAATAATAATAAAAATAATAATAATAATAATAATTAATAAAAATAAAAATTATAATAAAATAATAATAATAATAATAATAATAATAATAATAATAATAATGATAATAATCATAATAATAATAATAATAATAATAATAATAATAATAATAATAATAATAATAATAATAATAATAATAATAATAAAAATAATAATAATAATAATAATTAATAAAAATAAAAATTATAATAAAATATTAATAATAATAATAATAATAATAATAATAATAATAATAATAATTATAATAATAATAATAATAATAATAATAATAATAATAATAATAATAATAATAATAATGTAGAACTATAAATAAATGCAAAATAAATAAATAAATAAATAAATAGTGAGAAACGATATACTGCATGTATGTTGTGTTGTCAAAGTAAGAGAAAAAATTGAAACCCTGCAATTGTGTGTAAATGAGACAGAAATTCAGTCAGATCATCAACCTGGGACTTGGTCACAATTTTCGTGATGCCATATGGCAGCAGGGTCTACCATTAGACAATACATTATGCTTCCAATATCTTCCCAGGCGGTAGTACCTCCCTGTTTGGTAACTGCCTACTACCTGCTTAAATAGTTCCCTGCTGGTGCCGGTAATAACGTGTTGACGTCGGCCAGGGTAGATTCGAGCGAGTGATAATGTCCAGTAAAAAACAAGCAAGGAATTATATTTACACAATATTGATAAAAATCAATATTGAATCACCTGAACAACCTTCACCCCAAGGTGTTTCCCCTGAATATATGTGGGTATATTTAGTAATTTGAACATATATGTAATGGAAGCCACATATCCACAACATCGCTAAAGCTGCCTCCCAGATGCTGGGAATGCTATACAGATGCCGTAACTACTTGATTCCTGAGCAGTTGCTTTAAGTTTATAAGGAATTCATTCGTCCTAACTTGGAGTAATGCTCTCATATCTGGAGTGGCTCTTCTTCTGTCCAACTATTAGACAGGGTGGAATCAATGGCATTTCGTCTTATTGGCTCTCCTCCTTTAGTTGATAATCTCTCATCCCTTTCTCTTCGCCGCAATGTTGATTCACTATCTCTCTTTTACAGGTACTTTAACGGGCAATGTTCCGTGGATTTGTCTTCCTGTGTAGAGCCGGCAAGACCGTGGACTCCTAACACTCGTCTTACCTGCGGTGCCCACCGTTTCTCTGTGGATGTCGGTCACATAAACCCGTAATAGTACTCCCTTCTTTCCTCACACATCCAAACTGTGGAATGCTCTGCCTTCGTCTGTGTTTCCATACTCCTACACTCTGTCTCACTCCAAAAAGCTGGTTTTACGGCATGTTCGTGGTGTAGATTAATAGTCTTTTTCTCTTCTAATTTTTAATTTCTTTTTACTCTTATTTTTTTTTTCGTCCCCCAGGCCCCGTTGTGGGTCAATGACCTGTGCTCGGGTGGGCTATTTCAAAAAAAAAAAAAAAAAATTGGTATCATCTTGAGTATCGAGTCTGTTTTATAATTTTGATTTTATATGAAGCAGAGATGTGGATAGAAAAGACAAAATCAAGTACACGTACTTTAGCAACTATATCCGAGATTGGTTGAGTGTGTGATGATCACTGTCCCTGCTGATCATATATAATTTTTTAGGCAAATTTCAGTAAGATGTTCAGCTTTTACTGTAAACGGACTCTTGTTAAGGTCTGGGGTGGGCGGGGTACATTTGGGAAATATGGTAATTTTAGAGCTTCCTGGTGTAATATCAGCAAGTGTTGTAATGCCTCGCCATATGTGACCTGAGTTACCCTTTCTTCCATACATACATTTAGAGAGAGAAACATGAACAAACTGTGACTTGATATTTGCAGACATATTGTTTCATCCTCAAAGCAGGGTATTATTAAAAATTTGGCCTGTGTTCCAAATTTTTAAACTTGCATTAAAGATACAGTTTTTCGTGCTGAACTTAAATGTGAAACTCATGTTTTGCGGAAATGTTTTATTTGTGACTTACAGGTCTATGAATCAGAAGTGCTGACCAATCATGCTTAACATAAGCTCGTACAATTTTTGTTCTTTGTGACACTGGCGCCGCATAAACTCGCACCCAACATTTGACGATGAGTACCGGCTTGTTTGTGAGGTTAGGTTAGGTAAAAAACGGACACTGCTCCTGCAAACAAACGCCAATAAAATGTTAAATATTTATTCCCCAATAATGAGTTGCAAACCTAGAATCAACATAAAAAACTGTACTAGTGACAAAATTTGTCAAAAAAATTTAACAGTCCAAATTTTTAATAAGATCCGCAAAGCTTCATTCTTCCGAATAAAAATAATCAGTGTGGTGACATTTCTTCCTTAATAATAATTAATATGAGAATTGTGAAGAAATACAAAAACGCAATTCTTTGGATTTCTTCCAGTATTCAGTAATGGTTTCAAATCAGTCAAAAGCTTGTTTGTGTAATATATTCTGCTAACGAGCCGATCAGTGGTGAAGAGGTTAAAAGTAAAAGTCAAAAGTCAAAACAGGTTTGTTTTAATGTTAAGTCGGCATCTTGCCAGACACTCCATTGGCCATTTCTGGTGGTAATGGGAAGAGAGTATGCACGCGTAATCTGCACGTAATGATAAATGCACACTACACATTAAACTGTATACTATACATCTGAAATAAGAATGAACATGTTTTAACAACAGTGGAGAAATTCTGATAATTTCACGACCGCAAGAAAAATGCTTAACTCCCCCAAGGTCGAAAACTCTGTTGCAGTTTTTGTCTTGACTATATCCGTTATATGGTCACCCATTCTCTTCCTAATATATCAAGTCGCTCCTCTGGTTATTATTTTACTCAATAACTAAATGTTGTGACCTGTGAAACACATCTTGTTACCATCAACACCTGCTGTCATCTCCACCCACCTATAGTAGAGTGAGGGAGGCGGGAGGTGCGGTACAAGTAACGCTGTAACATAGGATTATTTTCAAAATAAAGAAGATAGAAATAGTTCTAGGTCTGACTGTTTGGTTTGCATTTTATTGTTAAGAGTATAAGTGTTGACAATATGCCAACCGTTAACATTAACAAGGGGAGGAAAATCTTCACTCACCCTCCACTAACAAAAAAAAAATCTTGAGGTTTGATAACATCATCTACAGCAACAGGTCGTCTACCGGTGGTGGTTCTACACTACGGGTACAGGATAGTTGTTTACATTACAAAGTTACTCTCCAGATTCTTGATATGCAATAATACTGTGACTCACCAGACCAACAAGTGGTCCAAGGAGTGACTCATCAGACCAACAAGTGGTCCAAGGAGTGACTCATCAGACCAGGAAGTATTTGGTGTTGGCAACAATAAACGTCTCAGCAGCCTTGGTGTTGTTCCCTCAGTGTACAGTAAGAGCAGCTGGAGGCTCTCTTATGTCTATAAATGTGGAAATTTTTGAACTATAAAACTTTAAGACTCTGAACTGAGATGAGCCAGTTGTCCAGTTGTAGGATTAAGAGGTGCTGGAAGTAGAGTGTAGTAAAGTAACTCATTAAACTCACCAATATTTCAGAATAATGAAACAAGGGCCAGGAGCCGGTCCAGATCCATAAATCTGCAATAGACCTGCTGGAATCTGGAGCTAGTGCCGGTTTCACCGCTAGTGGCGATGACTGGAGACACAGAGGCAGGTACCTACAGACTAGCGCCTCCCGGCGCCCTCAAGCGTTATATAGCGCTTTGCAAGGGCTTCTCTCATCCCCTTAGCTTGCGGCACCTGGAAGCGGGAGTCGAGGACACCGCACCAACAAGGCCTTCAACACAACCATAAAGGGAGGTCTTGCACTCGGCTCCAAAAGCTGAGGTGAGGATAGACGGCCACAATGGCCGCTGATGCAACGGTCGCCGCGGGAGTACACCGAGGGAGGACAAGGTCACTCATCACTCATATGAAGCCACTTACACAAGTATGTGTAAATGGGCTTCTTGGCCCGTTGTGCGGATATAGCGCACTCTACAGTAGGCTACGCTTTCTTTTCATTACATAAGTAGGCATTGTTGCCAACACTGCACTCGATTTCTTTACTTCCGAAATTGTAAAATTAAACACCCATTTACAGTTGGGTGAAGACAGGGTTTCCTCCACATCCTAGTTACACTTAACAATAAAAATAGTCATAAGAAAAATAAATAGTGAAAAAATCAACCCAACAAAGAGAAAGCTCTATTAAATGTTATGAGGATAACTATAGTCCAATAGCTATATCGTGAACACGGAAATTATTGGTGCTGTAAGGATTTTTGTTAGATACTGGTACCATAGGGATCCTAGATGCGGAATTGATCAGATGCCAGTTTGGAAACTTTGGGCAACTCTCAGAATTTGCATAAATCCAAGATGGTTGTCGTCTGATATGGGTGAAATAGAATAATGGACAACTTTTGATAGCTAGAAGATTGATTCTGATATTTGCCCAAAGTTTCTAAGCTGGCTTCTGATTAATTCCGCATCTAGGATCCCCGTGGTACGCGTATCTAATAAAAAACATTACAGTACCAAATTTCCGGGTTCACGATAAGTTTGTGGACAGAGGCTACTGGGCTATTATATCGAATGTTCATTTATTCTTCCACGGTGAAATACGTATCAGCTAGGATGGTAGCATTCAGCTGTGAATGTGGTATTTCATCTTGCAAGTTATTCTTCTCTCAGTCAGTCTCCCTCACAAGGAGCTGCACATACCATGCCACAAGATATTTGAAGTAGTTTTAACCTAACATTTGTAATTTATTTAATACCAACCATTTTATAGTCAACTTGAACTATCGTTCAAAATTCTCATCAAACAGACGATTAAATTTTTGCTTCATGGCCAAATCTTTTAAAAATCCCTAAGTTGTATACTGGCACGCAACACGAAAACATCTTCAAAAAGAGGAAGAGATATGTGTGATGAACCAGTACTTTCCAACAGTGTGTAATAAAGACGTGGCCAACTGCCAAAGCGGCTAACAGACCGATCAGTGGCGCAGAGAATAAAGTAATAACCTCAGGTGGTCGGCAAGAAGGAGGCTAGTGGGGAAACGAGCTCCTGTTTTGGTACACACTCAAACTTCATGGTGTCCCAACTTAGAAAGATCATGTCAAAAATGACAATTGTAGGTATTTTTACTGCAATTCCTGATGGCAAAATAGTCTCGGGCATTATTGAGAAGAATAATGAAATTAAAGAACAGTTAAATAAAGGCTCAAATTTATCTCTTGTTTTCACAAAGATAAAAGGAGAAAGTCAACTTGCAGTCATGAAGATGTCACCTAAAGTACGAAATTCCATACAGAAGTTTCAAGGATACATTTATGTTGGAATGAGCAGATACAAAGCTAACTTCAGGCTGTCCCAGGAAGCTTGGTTCTCCAGTTTGTGCCTTCTATGAGGCAGTCATGAGTTTAGGACATGCTCAAATAAGACCTCACCCTGCTGTATAAATTGTTCCACTCCTGCAGTACCACTCGAGTCAGTCAGTAATTTTGCATCAAGTAAAGATCGCACTATGATGACTTACCAACGTAAATAAACTAATTGAAAACATTGATTTTATTTGTTCAAACAAAAAAATCCGCATAGTATCCCCCCTGAACTTATTAAAAGTGGCTCTGCTTAATATCCGTGTGGTCCGAAATCGATTTGGCTTGTTTCATGAGACTTTCTTAGGAAAGACCGGGGGACGGTTGATCTGTGGTGACTTTAATTATTTAATTGACAACCCATCTCTGAAACCTTTTTCCTCCTAGTTCTTCGAAATTCTCGATCTAAACAATTTTGACCATCATATATCGTGTCCAACACATTTTTCTGGACACACTCAGGGTTCTGGTGGCAGCGACCTTAAAATTAAGAGTAGATTTAAGTTATCCCCTTAAGATTAGTGACCCCAGAATGGGCAGTATACTACAGTACACTCCTACTGGAGGGCTGCTGTCGGCTATCGGTCCTGACATGGTTTGGGGTCTTTCCCTCCCACTCAGTCTTTCCTCTTTTCGCTCTGGCCTGGGAACCTGCACCCTCAGATGTGTATTAATCCTCAGGTCCTCCATGTACGTTTTCACCTCCCTCCCAGGAGTTTGTGAAAAGGAAAGGGGGCCGGAGCCAATACCACCGCCGAGCCTTCCTGGGCAACCGTGATCGTGCGGGTCCAGCCAGGAAGAGGGTCGCTATCCCTCATCCTCCCCTCCCTCCAATTAGGTACACTAGGCTCGCACCTCACATAAGCGAGCAGCTTTAACACTAGGATAGTAGGTTCGCCTTGCGGGGCCACCGGGACACACACACACACACACATTTACATATACACACACACACATACACTCACATACATACATACCCACACACCTCTCCGGACGGATGACAACGAGAACGACGCAGCAATGACCAGGACTACGGGTAACAGGATTCGGGTGAGCTCCCTTCGGGGAGGAGTATCGAAAAAAGAAAAGAGGTGTTAGGCACAATCCTTTGCGCACGCCTGGGAATCAAATTCGCTGCACTAATAGAAGCAAAGGACTCCTTCATAGTTCTTTGCATAGAAGAAAAGGACGCCGATCTCATGTTATCGACTGAATCGATAGATACACTAAAAAGGGATAACTTTGAAATAGCCATCCCACCACAGCTTAGAGCTAAGAAGTCAATAGTTATCAAAGATTGAATATGACCATTACCAACAAATCACCAATTGAAATATCGCAATAAATAGAACAAAAAAACACATAGGCTAAAGTGGAAGAGGTGGTACTATTCCCCAGGGCTCCAACGATGATGAAAGTGAGATTCATAGAAATCGCCATGGCTCAGAAGGCACTAGAAAATGGCACATTACCAACAAATCACCAATTGAAATATCGCAATAAATAGAACAAAAAAACACATAGGCTAAAGTGGAAGAGGTGGTACTATTCCCCAGGGCTCCAACGATGATGAAAGTGAGATTCATAGAAATCGCCATGGCTCAGAAGGCACTAGAAAATGGCATTTGCATTTCCCACTACCACCTTTCAAAACACCAAATTGAAAAATCAATTTTCTATCCCATAACACCTTGCTGGATATGTTATGTATATAACCACGTATCAGCCAATTGTCCTAATAGAGACAAAGTTCTGCTCGGAATGTGGAGCTGAAGGTCACACATTCAGGGAATGTAACAGCAAAGAAAACCCAAAATGTCTAAATTGCAAAGGACCTCACCGTACTTTGGCAGCACGCTGCCCAGCAAGGCAGGACATCATTAAAGACATGAAACAAAAGGAAAAGTCGAACAAACATACAGAAACTGACCTAACCAAAACCTATGCCACGATAACAAAGTTGCAAGACACCACTCCTAAAGTGTTAGAAAAAAACAAAAGATAAGGCCAACGCAGAAAACACTTACCTGAAGCTAAGTGAAGGTCTTCCCTTCACCATACTAACCACACTGATACATGCCCACATAAACAACGTGGCTAAACCAGGTACATTCGGAAGAACTGTCAGAGAAATGCTTGCAGCGAACAACCTACCACAGGTAAACTTCCCAGATGATGCCCCATTAGCAGACATTTTCAAAATAATAAACGAAAACAGTCTAGGAATCACCAGCAAGGATAAGGAAGATAAAATAACACAACAAGAAGATTGCATAGGAGAAGAGACCGAAATGGACACAACCCACTCCCAACTAACCACAACACACTACGAGACCCTAGAGAACACAACCGACCAATCAGCGAAGTCACCATCAGCAAAACCACGTAGAGAGAACCCCACTGGCCAAACGACGCCGGAGAAAGCATAGGAATCAGATTTACTCAGTCAACTCCCAGCCAACAGTTACAAGTGATAGACTGTTAAAAGACATTCAAGAAGGAACAACGAAATACACATACGAAGATAACAGGGTAGAAGAGGGACTCATGGAAACACTAATACGTGGAGGAAGAATAAGCAGCAAACATAATAAAATCGAGAGGGTAGACCTGACGAAATTTATAAAAATAAGAACAGGGCTGAAGGAAGAGAGTCAGAGACACTCCCCCGGAGAAACCCGAGCAACCAAACAACACGCACCAAGTTCCCGCGACCCACGATTACGCAAAACAGAACACTGAAAATAATACAACACAACGTCCTGGCCTGGACACATACAAGAAAAACAGAACTAACAAACATATACAACAACATAGACCCAAACATAATTCTCATAAACTAACACGGATGAAAAACAATGACAAAATAAAACTCTTCAACTACTACACACATCAACTGAACATACACGAAGAATTTAGCGACGGAGCAGCAATAGCTATCAAAGAAACTCATAGACAACTTCCAAACCAACTTCTTAGCAGTCGAAATCAATACAACTACAGGCCCAATAACAATTGGTACAACATATTTACCTTACCTACGACAAACATTCCCGACTGGTGACTTAATAAAACTAATGAGATGTAACACACCAGCATATTTTATAGGAGACTTAAACGCGAGACACACCATACTCGGACACCGAACCAGAAACCCACGGGGGAAGATAATACACGACCTATTAGAAAACGGCAACCACACCTTGGCCAGATTTCGAAACCTACTTAGCCGCAGGAAACACCGGGAAGCCGGATATAGTTCTGACCAACAGACACCACCATTTGA